CCGCGCGGAGCAATAGCTGGCGTCTGTTACTCACCGCATCGGCCCCCTCCGGGTAACTAGGTGCTCCGCCATTCTGGTGTCCTCCTTCGTCCCGCTGTTGGAGGATGTCCTCCAAGCCTTCTTGGCCTCCGCCGCGCGATTGCTCGCGCTCTGCCATCACTTCGCTGTTACTGGCGACCGATATGCCAGCAACGTCAAATCGCCTTATCTACTTTACTATTGAGCTGGGTCCCGAATACAAAGTAAGTCACTATTTAAACAATTCAAAATCCCCAACAGACGACGTTCTGACTTGCGCTTGCTTGCACGGTTGACTGGCGAACTAGCGTTGTCTGGATTCAGCGCTTTGTTCCCAGCTAATCTTTGTAACGCACTACCGTATCAGTCACTGTCCTCTGGCCAATTCCGGTCTGCTCCTCCCGCGCCGCACTTGCCGTACTACACTACAGGACGAGCACTTAATCAACATGCAATCTACCTACGTACGGGAAACAGCTGAATTACTGAATCAGCTGAAACAACTAAGATGTAGGAAAGGTTTATATAACCCTAAGATCATAAATCTATGGAACTTGAGTTCTTGGCAAAGCATGGTAGTCCAACGCCTTGGCAATGGACGACGTACGGAGGAGGGAAATCGTGCGTTTCTTGTCATTTGATGTGCGATTTGGCTTTAAATTATAGATATAGACGCGATTTGGGGTGTTGACTTAGTCGCGATAAAGAAATAGCTATCCGGGAAATTTGTTTGCGATGACTGATGGTTTTTATCATTAACTCCTATTCAGTGCTTAGGAATCCCGGAATTAATTGCGCTGGCGTTTCATTTTGGCCTTCAACCCATTGTAGATTACGGTATGCTATAACGCAACGGTTGCTCGTAGAAGTACGGTCTGGCTTCTGAAAACGAAGCCCCGATGAAGTGCATTTACATGTCAAAAAACTTCATTATATATTATTCATTAATCTGGCAGAAAAGAAATAGTTTCGCTGGTAATACTTGTGGCACACCCCCTCAGGCAATTAGGACCTGGTAGGAGCGAAGCTGAGCGAGGCAGGTAATTAACATTCATCGGGTAAGCTGCCGTTGCTTCAAGCGTCCACATCGCATATTATAAATCTCCAATTTCTGTTAGGATTGCTGCGCTGTCTTTCTTACAACCTCAGCACTTGTGGTTAGCAGAGCTCGTGAACCATCTGTCTTTCCTTCGCCCATCTGGTCTGGGTTCGTTGCATGTGTCTTAGGGCCTACCTCCTCATGAAATGTCCGCCTGCTTGCCTGAAGCTCATACGCACCCGCTGCTGCTACCTTACTTGACACTGCAGCCGCTCGTCAATTACGCAAGGCACCGTTCGTCAACGAACCAAGATACCCAGGAACCGACAACTTTCTGCTGCCGATTTTCTTCATGCGCTAAGGATGAACCGAAAGCTCTTGCTGGCTTTTGCGGCCATCGCGGCCGCCGCCACAGGTAAGGCAGCCACAGGCAGGAAGAACTAGTTCGGCAGGAATGCAGCAGCAGCAGCAGCAGCTGGGCAGCAGGGGCGAAACGACACACAAGCAAGCTAAGCGCACGCGAAGGGGACCGTTCCAGGAACGAATCGATCGATGGTTGGTTCGCGAACCAACCATTTATGCCGTTTGTTGTTGAGTTTCCACCTACACGAAGCTTTGTAACCTTTCCCCGCAGCGAGAAGGTTTCAAGCACGATAACAGAAGTTGAAGGCGTTGGATGTTGTCGTCTAGGCGGGTAGCACCCCCTGAAGCCCTGCTCTCTCTATACATAGAAAAATTCCGTCCTTACTTTGTCGTCCCAAACATTTAAGGGTATCAGAGACAGGCAAACCAGATGAAGCAGACAGGCAAGTGAAGGAAAACCGCAAAGAATGATGAAGCTGTATGAAGCATACAGGATGCTTCGTGGCATCGGCCTGCCCAGCTATCTAGTTACTTGCTCTGATTAAAAAACTGCTAAATCTATGTTATTTAATATAATAAACATTAAAAACGCGCTTGCAGCATCGATACAGCGGTTTAGGGTACCCCTGCGCTGAATTTGCTGTGGACGGATGGCCGAGCAAACCTCCAAGCAAGGCAGCCATCTCGTCCTCCACTGCCTTCATTCAGGGCCATTCGTATCATGGCCAGATGAAAACCTTTATTACTGATCTTTGTTTCAACGACGCGTCTTGGGCGTTTTTCTATGCGCAAGCGTGCGAGACGTCGCGTATACATCTGCCACACCCCACTTGTGGCAGCGATGTTGGACCGTTGTACGTATGTAAGGTCCTTGTTGGAAAGTGACTGACACTATATGTACCAGCGAAATGAGACAGCAGTAATCGGAACCGAGGCGGTCCGGTGCTTTGCTATTCACAGCAGTCCTACCTAGCGGTAAGGCTACCGAAGCAAAAGTGTAGGATAAAAAAGTGTACAACAATGGCATTGTACGGTAGGCCGTTACAGATTTTATAACCATGACGAGCGCCCTGCAATCCAACTGCAGTGGCACTTCCGCCTCCAGCAGTGTTGCAAGTCGCATGACCTACCTACGAGTAGTCAGGAAGGCCAATGAGAGGAATGAACCAACGACGAAGAACAAGGAAAGTACAGGTCTGGGACTCAGCCCCACTGTGCCCATGCCGGTAGCCGGCCTATGTCGCCCTACATGCAACCACCGCGCGCTCCGCTCCACCGCTCCACTCCACGGCAATATTGCTACCTGCCCTAAACAACCGGGTATATGCGCAAGTAAACAATCGGACTTACACGCAGAGCAGCAGGGCAGGCTGCTGCAGGCGCATATTCCGGCTGCCTGTACGCTCGCAGATGCATACATGAAAACACAACAACAGTATTATTGTTATTGTCTTCGCCCGAACGCGTAGATCACCAGTCACTTACATCTATACGCACAAACAAAAGATTGGCACTACTTTTACGTCGCCCCGCCCCCTTGTCTTTTGCGTGCACATGATACGCTCGTGCAGTAGTGGTGGTGCACGGCCAGGATGTGCTGAGCCGTGAGCTGCTCCTGGGTGAGCTGTTTTTCGTGACGGTGGATTCGACTAATCAGTGGCTGATCCGTGATGGCAATGACCGACTGATACTACTTGTGGGTGGGTACAGACCCCCCGATCGGGACTCCAACGGCTTGCCGGTCTCCGCGGGCGCCATCGTGATGGTGGTAAGTGCGCACGTGTGTATATATATTGATGGGGTGCCTATGTTAGGAAATTCCCATCTTAGGATGTCGCCCCCAACGATATGTGGTTGTGGAGGTTATCCAATAGGTTCAGTGGAAGGTGTATCCCCTCGCTATCATCATGGCCTGTCCGGTGGCACAGGCAGTAGCAGATCAACTTATCAATAGGATTGCCAGTCTCAAGGGAGCAAATTTGGCTTATCCAAACCCCACAATCAGTGCAACAATGTGTTTGGGATGTTGTGGCTCTTGCTGCGGTGTCAGCCATGGAGCATGGGAGACGTTATATGGCTGCAAACATGAAAACCAACCCGGCACTGTTACCTGGCCCTTCCCTTACGGAAGAAGCAATTTGTCGAGTTATTGTTGACTTTTGGGGCCGCATTCAGGGTTTCGCAGCTTTGGGAATTCCACGGAAAGGTTGGGATTCCGTTGGCGCACATCACCCCTTCTTGAGAATTATATCTGGCAAATTGCTGTGCTCGCGAGAGCGGTTACCGATGAGAGGTTAATTATCTGAGGTGATGATCTTTTGGTATATTAGTCTCTACTGCAGTGCACGGCCAGCTGGCCCGATGGCTCTACTCTTCGGGAGTCTGGAGCCCACTGTAACAACCACACACACATATGTACGTGTATGGAATGCACCACTTGTCGATGTACGGTAGTGTCATGTCATGAGGGCTACCTCCGTTGCGTCACATGCTGCGATATTTATATACGGCTGATCCACACATGGACGTCTGGCTTTTCGCTGAGTATGTGCATGTATGTCCGGACATGTATGTCCTGTATGTATATCCTAACGTAGACACGTTAGGATCCTAACGTGTACATCCTAGCGTGTCTACGTTAGGATATACATATAGGACATACATACTATGTATGGACATAGATAGTTTGTATGTCATGGGCGCTGTGTTGTGTGCACATGTATATGTGGCTAGGTAGCTGTGTTATATATATGATTGTTAATAGGCTTGGACGCGGCGTTCTTGTTCTCACCACTTCAACCAACGAATACGTGTACTGATTTTATTTTTTGCGCTGCTTGTATACATGCGACAAAAAACATGCAAGCATATTATAATGTGTAGCCGCACGCGTGTGCGATGTGCGATGGTCGCAGGATTGCATGTACAACGCAACGGCTGGCGAATGCGCGCCGGACAGCTCAAGCATCCTCACGGTGCTCAGCACGGCACCGGCAGTAGACACCACCTTCAGTCCCGTCATCTCCCAGCGCCTCCTCGTCATGATCGTCGACTACCCGGATTGCGGCTTGCCGGCGAACCTCACCGAGAATGACGCCCGCACAATTTACCTAGGGCCCAACCAAGACGGCAAGGGGGGCATTGCTGAAAAGTACACACAGTGCTCGTACGGCAGGTTCGGACTAAATGTTACGGCATTTCGTGCGGTGCGTGTGCCGCACATGTGTTCGACGTCGATTACGTCCCAGTGCGCCTATTACGCGATTCAGTCCCTGGCGGACACAGCCACGAAGGCTCTTATAGGCGCTGCGGCCTTCTCAACCTTCACCCACTACACCTACTTGCTGCCGCCGGGCCTGGCGCCGGCGTGCACCTGGTCGGGTCTGGCACTGCTACCTGGCCGCACCACCTGGCTGCAAACGGCGCAGCCCCGCGGGGTCAACAGATGGGCGACGGTCATGCAGGAGGCCATACACAACTACGGTGCGTCCACGGGCGAGTGTTTCTACTCACGCGTGACTAGGAGATTTGTTGATGGCCAGCTAATATACTGTTGGTCAATGCTAGCTAGGTTTGTACTATATGTCTTGGCGGCCTATGTATTCAGCTGTGTGTTGATAAGGTTCACCTGGAGTGAAGAAGCGTGTAGGGACGTGCTGCACGCATGAGGGTGACAAGGGTGGGAGGGTAAATGGATGTGACCGAGTGGCGTACATAATAGTGACTGGGGCTATATATGGCTACCTAGCATAATCCGTAGAAGCAAGGTGGGCTTCCAAATCTATAGCGCTATGCGCCAGGGCAGGTAAACTGGGCGAGGCATATGTAGAGCAGTTCGTTGCCACGTCGTGGAAGGCAAGTAAGTAGGTACATACTTGGGAAGGCACTATGTACAGCACTGTACGGTGACAGAATGTGTATGAGCATGTAGATGATAACCTCGTCGCTTTAGCTATGTACTGGCCTGCATCGGGCAACTCATTACATAAGGAGTTGATTCTTTCGTGTGGACGGCACCCTTGCGCATATGGCTGACTGCTGTACGGGCAGGTCTCTGGCACTCTTGGCAGAACGGCACAGAGTACGGCGACTACTCCACAGCTATGGGTCGCGGCAACGCTTGCCCCAACTCTGCGGAGATCTCCCGCATGGGCTGGGCCACACCCGCGGTCGGAGGTGACCAGCTGAACAGCAGTGCCTTGCCGCCAGGCACTACGAAATCCTTTGTGCTGCCTGCCACCTACCTCACCGGCAGCAACAACTACCTGCGTGTCATACCTGACTGGCTGCCCACCTACACCAACTTCTCCCTGGGCCGAAACCTTTACATCGCTGTCCGAGTGGCAAAGAGCGGCGATGCCAGCCTGATTTCCACTTACGCGTCCAAGGTTAACATTCATGAAGTGAATGCAGTGCTAGTAAGTAACACCATAGACAGCACAGGTGGTGCATACATACCGATGTTGCTGCCGCCTAGGAACGTCTTTCTGTAAAATACACCATAGCGGATTATATCTTAATTATTATATTCTAATAATAAATATATAATATTAGGTTGGACTGTCTGTCGGTATACATTAATACAAAATAGTATAAAACATAATATAATACGTATTGTAAATAAATAAATATATGTATATAAATATACATATATATAGTGTGCGTGTGTTACACGTTGAGTTGTCTCCGAAGGTGTTACCGAACGGGCTGCTAGTGAGCGATCATTCATTCGATGTTCCCAGCTGCGTAGGTAGATACGGTAAGTACCATTAGTAGATGGATGATACATAGAAGCCGTGCAACTTCACAGCTTCTTTGTGTCACAGCCTCTTGAGTGCTCAACTGCAAGCTGTTATATCATAATTTTGCAAAAGTACCGATCGGTGGATGCAGGTCCCGTGATATGCCCCGGATACTCTTCACAAGCGCACCCTGGCTGCCGCTGCTTCTGCTGTACCTATCCCCCCATCGCAGGATAATGGATATCCAGCCCTCTATTCGAGCGCTGATCGCATAATCTCTTTCATCAATGCCGTCGGGCCTCTGGATCAACGTGTACTGGATGCTTACAAGCTAGTCGTGTACGGCGGACCTTGGATTGCCACGGACTACTTGAGGGTCCACCTTTGCCGCTATGTGACATCACCCTCGGAATGCCCTCCCCTGAACGCGCTGGAGGCTGTGCCGCCGCCGCCTTCACCGCCGCCGTCACCCGGGCCCTCGCCTCCACGGCCGCCTGGTTTCGTTAGTTCGCCGCCTCCGAGCCCTCCGCCACCAAGCCCACGGCCACCTCCCCCTGTACCCCTATCCCCAAGCCCGCCGCCGCAACGCCCGCCGCCACCAAGCCCGTCGCCGCTGCGGCCGCCGCCACCCAGGCCGTCATCACCACCTCCACCGTCCCCTCCACCGCCCCGACCGTCCAGTAAGTTCCCTCGTCAATAGATGGACTACAGCTATACACATTATTAGCTCCTTTTTGCCCCCCTGAAATGTATGGCCCCCTTGTACGTATGTATGTATGCATGTACGCATGCTGCGCTATGCTTGCCCTTATTGCTGCTGATGGGGAAAGGTGATTGTGTGCATGTGTGCATGTGTGCATGTGTGCATGTGTGCATGTGTGCATGTGTATGCAGCCGCCTGCGCTTCACTTTTTGGATTCCTGGGGCCCTTCAACTCGACTGATCACGCGGGCGACGACCTGTTCCTCAGCACTGGTGACCCAGCCGCCGACTGCGTACTCCAGCCAACCTGCCTGGGTTACAACTCCAACGGCTTCCTCAAGACCAAGACTGCCCCGACTGCAACTGTGGCCGGCGTGTGTCTTTACCTGCGAGATGGTGCGTGAGCGTGCAAACATGCTTAGGTACTAACCTGGTATATAAGGTATTACCTGAGGGTCTGGGGTTGCCATGCGTACATACATGCGTACATGCATACATGTGTACGTGTGGACATGCATACATACATGCGGTGACTAGCTAGTGGAATAGCTCGCTCACGCACGGAGTATGTGTGTGTTGCAAGATAGAAGATAGCCATGCTTTTGGTGTGAGTGTATTTGCGTGTTCGTTTGTAAGTTTGTAAGCGGATGGGGCAACGCAGTTCCCGTCCAATCTAGTTGCTTGGATATATAGACCTGCTCTACCGTGGGCTTGCTGGTGTATGTATGTCAGTCCTGCGTCTTAAACAATGAATTATCACAACGAAACCAAAGAACACCAATGGTTAACGTTAACCCCGCCGCCGGCTCTACTCTCCTGCTTGCTGCTGCAGCGATGATGTTCAGCTCTGCCTCCTGCGGTGCCATGATTGAGGTGTACGGCATCGTCCCAGGATCCACCTGGGGTCAACTAGCCAACGCAGCGGGGCTGCAATCTATTTACACCGCCGGTAATTGCAATATCAGGGCGTGCACGTACTACCAGACCAAGTACGGCACCATAAACTCGACGTCTTGGGGCAGCCTTCCACTCTCACTGCAGGGCAGTTGGACCAAGTACGGATGCAACGCGGTCGTACAAAGTGAGTGGTTCAAGTCGCAGGTCAGCTTTGTACGGGATGGTGTACACCCGATATGGGATGGGCTTGTTTTTCGTCCTGTCGCCGTCTGTGCATCTTTAATGCACCATTTATATGGACTGGCTCAATCGTCTGCGCATGGCACATGGACATTTGTGAGCGCGTGCCCAAAAGAAGTGCCTTGCTTAGAAGCTGTCTGCAGCCTTCACGGCTTGCTGTAATGTGAGGTGCCCTTCAAGACATGCATATGCCGGACAGAAAGGGCCGATAGCGAAATAGGGGTAGGCTGGCAAGGGCCCTTACATTACTCAGCGAACCACACACACCTGGCATAAGACACAAAAATCGTTGGTTAGTGTGCTAGTTTGTTTACCATCTCTTTGCCATTGCTGTCGCTAATACTGTTTCATTAGCTTGTTTCTTTTCATCACTCTTGTTTGCCACGTACGTACGAAAATTGCCACATATACTAACTCTTCACGGCGCTCGCCTGTCCACCAACCTACGCTCTACAGAATGTCCCGCCATCACCGGCTATATGGCAACTCCCGATGTGGACCACGCGGGGGATGACATTGCCAACGCCAGCTCTGTCGCGGCGGCGGCCAGTCAGTGCAACTCCAACCCAGCCTGCCTGGCCTTCAACAGCGCTGGGCGAATCAAGACCAAGTCCTTCCCCATCACCGCGGTAACCGGGTCGTGCTTGTATTCCAAGGTCGTAGGTAAGTCAGCAATCGAGAATATCACGTAGAGCTTCGCGGCTCCTTGTAGCATCCTGGGGATCACGGGATCCCGAGAACCACCGATCGGTTCTTTTCCGAAAAATTGTGATATTCAACATTCCGCCATGCACTGGAAGTACACTACTGTTACAGCAGCCCCATTAGTGGAAGTACTGGAGCAGAAGTACTGTTACAGCAGCTCCATTAATGGAAGTACTGTTACAGCAGCTCCATTAGTGGAAGTACTGGAGCAGAAGTACTGTTACAGCAGCTCCATTAATGGAAGTACTGTTACAGCAGCTCCATTAATGGAAGTACTGTTACAGCAGCTCCATGAGTGGTTCTATTCTGGGCATGACCCGCTTCCTTTAGTAAAGGAGTAAGCTGCCAAGGTGGTACCTTGGCAGCTTGGATGCCTGTGAAAAAGGTAATAAGAAAAGCGAGGTGACCCCGGGTACTAAATTATTACCTTTGATAACTTAGTATCTCGAAGGAAAGAGCTGGCGCATATTCTTATACCACGACTTAAAAAATACCGAACGGTGGATGCTGGTCCCGTGGTATGCCAGGATACTACACATATTTTTTTACTACACATATGCATGCATGAGTGACAGCGCTGTGCTTGCATGTGAGATTTATGGCTTGTAATTGTCCGTGTTGTTTAATGAATATATAATCCAGCAGCATGAATGGGACAGCAGAGGGAAAATCTGCAAAGTGCGACCGTCTGGGCCAGAGACGCAGCAGATGCAGCAGAACCCAAGCCGTGCATACTGCGCCTACATATGTATCGATGCCATGGGTGGCTTGTACTTGCTTTAGCCCATCCACTGTGCTCTCGCTTGCAACCCCTTTGTTTCAGCAGTGTGCGGCCGCTCTGCCTATTCGTTCTCGATTGTTTCGGACTTCCGCATACATATCGGAAGCTTACCCCAACGCATTTCTATAGCCTCAACATCGTAACATTTACAATTATACATATTAACAAATGACCTCTGACGCCACCTGCTGCCGCACTGCCTTCAACGTGCAGCGCCTCCACCCCCACCACGACCACCCCCACCAAGGCCACCGCCTCCATCTCCTGTGAAAGGTACGTGCCGGTCGGGAGTTCCTCTGCTTGGCCCCTCTTCACCCGCTTCGCCCGCGTCCATTATGATGCAGCAGCAGCAGCAGCAGCAGTACATAGCGTTATTTGGTACGCAGAAGACATACGTAGGCGTCTGGTGTGCATGTGTCTTTCTACGGGTGCAGCATGCTCTATGCCTTTAAAGCAAATTCGCCGAGCACACTACTACTACTACTACTACTACTGTGCAAGCAATACGTATTTCTAGCTGAGTATAATATATAGCACAAGTAGTACTTTTTAAAACCCCGCCGCCGTCCGTCAAAAATCCTTCCCTATCGGCCGATTCACTCTGCATGCATGCAGCCGTGTACGACAGCTGCCCTCTCCTCGCCGGCTACTTGGGCCCGTTCACCTCCACGGACCATATTGATGACGAGCTCTTCGTCAGCTACGTGGACCCGGCCGCGGACTGCACACGGCGGTCCAACTGTCTGGGGTTCAACTCCTACGGTTCCCTCAAATACAAGCTCGTCCCAACTACTACCGTACCGGGCGTATGCTTCTACGTCCGAGATTGTACGTATATAAAATAAAACCTTCCTTCGCTACCACGCACTCTAATTCTCTAATTGCGTACTTGCTTAGATACTTCTCGGCCATTCACGCATTTACCTGCCTACCTAATCCCTTGGAGTGGAACCAGCTGCAGCATTGCGCCCGCCGCCGGTACATTTTTAAGCTTGGTTACACTAATGCGCATATGCCCATTTACAGGGGCGTCACTTGCCGTGTAATGACAGGTCGAGGTATCGTGCAGGCACCAAGAGAATGTTTGACCTGATCTTGCCCCTTGCCCAGCAGTTTTCTTCACCCGTTCCCTGCGTGAACGCTAATATATCTATCACCCCGCTGCTGTTACTTCCGTCCCCATATGATTTGCATCGGTCATGTATAGGACATATATGTATGCTTTCTTTTCGCTTGGATAAATGCAGACACGTTCTTCAGCTCCGCTGTCTGCGGTGCCATGATTGAGGCGTACGGCATTGTTCCGGGTTCCACTTGGGGGGACTTATCGCCCTCACCGGGACATAAGGCTATCTACACGGCCGCCAACTGCGACGTCAAGGCATGTACGTACTTCCAGGCTACGTACGGCACCAACAGCTCTTCCGCCTGGGGAAGTCTGTCTACCGCGTTCCAGAGCAGTTGGCTCAGATACGGATGCAACACGGTCGTACAAAGTGAGCAGGAACGATTGAACAGTTACGCCATGCAGTGGTTGTGTGGCATCATGTACATGGCCACATCCATCCGCTGCCGGAAAGAAGTTTGCTACAACGGAGGGAGGCAGAATCACAACGCGGCGGGGTATCTTTCCGCTAGGAAGATGGGATGCAATATCTGTTTGTGTGTAGTAATACATCACGAAAAGGCATGCTAACTATTTTGCCACCATTCCTGGTTGTCAGAATGGCGTCGTCTTGCAAGCAAACACTGTATACTTGCCTGCACGATATTGTACTCTCACTTGTTGTTAAATTGTGATCTTGCATGCCTGTCCACCAACCTACGCTCTACAGGATGTCCCTTCATCGCCGGCTATGTGGCAACTCCCGATGTGGACCACGCGGGGGATGACCTTGCCAACGCCGGCTCTGTCGCGGCGGCGGCCACTCAGTGCAACTCCAACCCAGCCTGCCTGGCCTTCAATACCGCTGGCGTGACCAAGGCCAAAGTCTTCCCCGTGGCCGCCTCAACGGGATCTTGCCTGTATACCAAGGTGGCGATTTCTGACTGAATGAGAGTAAAGATGTGGCCCAACTCTTTATAGTGATTGCAAGCCATCTGATAGTTGCTAAATGGCTACGGGAGATGATCATGAGCGAGTGTGTGCAATCGCCTTGCCTACATACTGCTGGCTTTTGTAGGATTAGTGTACGTCTTTATTCATCGGAGATGTGATTCATTATGCATGCTGTATATTGTTGGCAAATGCTACTGAATATTGGATAATGCCTATTGCTGGCTTGAGCAACCCTGAAGATTTGCCCAGCTGTAGCTGTAGCTGTAGCTGCAGCCCAGCAAGCATGCATGCATGCTTGCCGGTGGTGCTGAACCTGAGCGATCCACTGACAAGTTGGCTATGGTGACTGAATGAGGGTGCCCCGAAATACCGGGGAAGGCAGGGTCTGCCGGGTAGCGGCCACGGGTGGAGATAGGACCCCTCTGTCGTCCCCCCCCCCATCATGCACCAGCTAACTGCAACCCATGCAGTACCTGACCCAATACTAATAGAGTCAATCAACGGAGTATGCTGCAGGCATATTGGTACCGCAGCTGCAGCTGCTGTACACACGTGCAGGCGACAGCTCAGGATCCATGCTTGGCAAGAATGAATTTCAAATTCATGGACATGCCCAGCCACGTTCTGGCCATGGCAACTAACCACACACCGCCAGCCATGCCATCCGAACATGTGCGCCATTATATCTTTGTTCCCGTTCATGCTTATTGATAATATGCTCATTAGAATTGTATGTGGTAATCTACGGCCATGCAAGTTACGGAGGCAACAAGCGGCGTGTGTCCATGCGTCCAGGCTTTAGAGCGCATCTTATGTTGGCTTTCCTGACAGTGACACATGTAGCAGGTTCTCAGCAGCTACCTGCATGCCTGGACAGCAAAAGAAGTTTGTGATTATCTATCGGGGGAGCCGGAGCACAACTTGATAACTTCATACCGTATGTATGTCAGGCGTACGTAATTCATGTAATGTGTAGAGGTTGCACGCACATGTGTTTGTGTATGCATGCATGCAACACATTCTTGCATTCTGATTCTTGAATCAGTTCCTTCCTTCATCCATGGTACACTGCTATCGTCATTTCCTTGCTGTGTCGTCTATTATTGAATTTATCACCACTGAAGGGAAGTGTGTTATTTGCAAATGGCATATCAAATGTATGTGGCTATTCATCATGTGTGCACACGCGGCTTTCTCTTTGAGCCGACATACATACACGGTATCCGTGAGAGAGAGACACACACACAACACGTGTGTAATTGCGTAAGACGACAGGAGCATGGCGGAAGCACGTCTGTGATTTTTTGATTGTCAATAGATCCTATCCTGGTGTAATAGATGGATAGGGACCGCCCATCCTACGTACTATGCAAGGGTGCAATCTGTAGACGACCAAAAACTTTACGGGTAGACGCAGGCAGCAGCAGTGGGTAGCTAGCGATGAGGAGCGAATTGATTGTTCATTACTGCGAATTTAGCCGGCGGTGCAGTACCAGCAGCCATGCATGCGTGTTTGACGAGGCACGTACTTTATCCGACGCTCATTCAGATTCCATCGTAGCATTACCCGAATGATTCATCCATTACTATTCATCATTTCCACAAATGAACGTGGAAGAAGCAAGAATCGTTTGGGTGATTTACATGCATCGGCGCCACACCAGCTCGGCCTGCAGCTGGCCATACGTGACATTACCTCCTGACTTACTACAGATCTCTTTAGTGCGCCCCAGCCTGTTGCTTGTGTATTTGGCGAGAAACGCGTGGGTGGTGTCTGGCAATCAATCAAGCTAGTCGTTAACGTGTATATACCTGCTGTCGCTCGTCCGCATGCATGGTATATAGTGTCAGTACTCATCGGCATGTTAGGCGTGCGTGCCGGCTCGATATATAACTACGATACGAAGGCACACCAATAATCTATCTACTTGCGTATCTTCATATGTTTGTGAGAGCTTTTGCCGCATAGATTCCGAAACGTCGTGATCGGAATGGAAAAAATATATTAATAATGAATTGCTTGGAATTGTCCATGGTCATATGTCTGGGATGACCACTGTTGCTGCTGTAATAACTACGTACGTCACTGTCAAAGGAAGCAAGCTGCTGAATCCCCCATGCAGTCCCCCAGCGTACACAGCCGCCGCGCCACCACTGTAGTAGGTATGATAGCGTAAAAATAGGTGGATGTCTATATTTAGCTTCACCAGTGGCCATTAGCCTGGCAGTGTAACACAGCAAAGGCGTAACCCGGGATGCTCAGTTTGGCATTTTGCGTCGTTACAGGCAGTCACCGCCTTCCCCATTGTTTCGGCGTCGGCTTGCACAATTGAGTGCCTGTCACAGCCAGACCGACTAATTTCAGGCCTAATATATCTATTATACCTTTTCTTGAGTAGTTGCCGAACCGCTTAGGGGTCATCCAGACGGAGGGGTACCTGCAGGCAGGAAAGCTGTGCTTTGCTTCCGTGGGAGGGGGCGAGCCTGGTTACCGAGCGACTCTTTGTATAGAGACCATAAAGGAATTACCGACGCGGTTGTGTACCCTATAGAGCCATGCCCGTGTACCTAGCTAGGTACACGGGTAGGGCAGCAATGCTGGCTTTTAGCGGGCTCACCCAGGTTGGGTATCAGCAGCCACTTTGCCAGGTGTCTTCCCTAGAGACCGACATTCGCCCGCATATGCATGCCCGCATGTTTCTGTGATCTGTGGACAGTACGTAGTGGAGTACAGTGAGTATTAGAACCCTTCTGCAGTGCCACGCCGGTGCTGATGGATAGCTAGGTGCCGGCTAGGTACCGGATGCAGCGCAGGCCCAGCCCGGATGACCATTTCTACGGATCGGTTACGTACGACTGGTCCTGAGCAACCCTCAAGTGTGCGCGCACCGTGCTGTACATATACGTGTCGTCGCTGCTGCAGTTGTCACCCACTCATTGATTCGGTTCCATCAGCAGTTTGATGATATTCGTCCCTGGTAAACTGCACCAGTCATGGATGTGCAGCAGTGGCCGGAGCCAGGATATTTAGGCCAGGGCAACGTTAGAAATCATTACCTGGAATTAGCACAATAAACCTCAGCAAACATTTTGTATGAAACAGTATGAATTAAGTATGAAAGTGTATGAATACAGTAAACCGCTGTACGGCTTGTTGTTGTACACGAGAACATTTGCGGTGCGTACAGTCTTAGAGAACTTGTTTTACCTTTGCGCACATACAGCTAGGTAGAAACTTTCCTAGACGTAAATTTGCCCAGTTTGGCAATCCTGCTCTTTGGCCCTGCGACGAAGTGCAATATTCTGTCGCGAAGTATTGGAAGCAGATGGCCGAATCATTGTCTACACGCCGCACGCCGGTGACTATGCTAAGCGGCTTCTTAGGTGCAGGTGGGAGGTTTTCAGGATTTCCTTTCATCATATTGCAGAATTATGCTGTTGTAACCTCTACGTAACTGTCTATAGGTAAGACTACCTTACTGCGCTACGTCCTGGAGAACTCTCCTGAGAAGATCGCATGCATCGTAAACGACGTCGCGTCGGTGAACATCGATGCAAAACTTGTCCGCAATGACAAAAATCGCGGCTCAAGCAACACTACAGCCGATCTGACCGATACAATCGAGCTGGCGAACGGATGCGCGTGTAAGTACACGGCCGTCATTAGGACTTGAACTGGGCGTAAGGCGGGAAGGACCACACCCCAATGCATATTGGACGACAGCTGTGCCAAGTACCCAGTAGGCCATAGGTCTTTTGCCCTGCACTACGCGTCTTTCATGCATGTCCTTCTGTTGGGTACACATCTGTGGGCCGGGCCATCACATCGGAGGTCACACAGCCTTCACGCCACTTCTCTGTATTTTCTCGTTCCCAGGCTGCAATATCCAAGATGAGCTGTTTGCGTCCTTTGAGCAAGTTCTAGCTCTGGCGGATAAGAGAGGAGAACCTTATGCCCGGTAAGGCTGCCGCATCGAACATCCCTGGTCAGTCAAGCATTAACCGGTACCCCCTTGAGACATTACCAGCTCTACTAAGAGCCCCGTCACTTGTTGATGGCAGTAAAAGACCAGAATGGTCGAAATATGATAAGGTTGCCTGCTTACCTCGAATAGACTGCTTGTCATCTTTCTGGGTCTACGTTGTCTTGGGGTACTTTGACGCATGCATGGGCAGGAAGTAATACAGGTTCCTGCGCTGTCTGAAACGCACTGGGATTCAAATCGTGCTCGGCCCTTGCTCCTTCAGGATTGTTCTGGAAAACAGCGGAGTTGCGGAGCCGCAAAACATCCGTGATAAGTTCAATGAGGCGGAGTCCGCGGTAAGGTGGAGTCTTGCTGCGGTTTTCTCCTTAAGGCCTTCCTTGGGGGCGCCGGGCGGGTTGCGTTCGGGTGATGCGCGCGTGTGTGTGTATTTCACCGCTCGGTTGGGTTTACCAGAAAGGTGTAACAAGTGCCCATACACGAGCCAGCAGAGGCCCAAGAGCTTCCTAAGAGCCACAAGTTAGATCACAAGTTAGATCAAGGGACATAGTACAACACATAAGGGTGGTAATAATAAGTTGTTTGTTGCTTGGCTGCGGCCCGTTGGGCGAAGGTTGAGGGAATCACAAGGGACCTGAAGACAGACATGAGAACGAATCGAGCTGGAACACACAAACAGGAACCCGGGGACCCGACCGACCCAGATGGCTAAGGTAAAACTAAGAACTCAAAACGCGTGCCGAGCGAGACAACCAAGGAGGATACCCAAGCAGGCATTAGGGAAAACGGCGGCCTGCATGCGGCAGCTGCATCAAGGAGTAGGAGCTGTCGTTACGGTAGCCCGTGGGAATCCTGTGATCTAAACCGTGAGATATGCCTTCCCGGCTGCAGCTGCAGTGTACCTATCCTGGCATCATCACACTTTTTGAAAACAGCTGATTAGGTTTGGGATCCGTGTTCCTGTCCTTTTCCTTCTTCCTGTCGTGTCGTGCCGGGTCGGGTCGGCCAGCAAGGAGTTGCGATTTTCACTTTTTGAATTGTTTTTTGCTTCTTTTTCAGGCTCTCTCTCTCCCAACCCTGACCCTAACTGTCTTACCCTTACCCCTACCTCAGGGTCACCCACTGATGGACCGCGTAGAGCTGGACACCCTAGTCACGGTGAGAGCCGTTTCGGGGTGTGGTGGACACGGACGCCATATTTCCGGTTCGTGTTGGGCTTCAGAAGCTTCTGGAAGGACATTGCCCGCTTGTGCTCTTGGGTCCTCTGTGGACGGCCGAACACATGATGCATGATGCCTTGTCAACACCAACGCCAACCTGTACGAACCTGTACTTTCTTGCTGACGTCGGCAGTGCGATGCAGTGCGGGGCTCCTCGACCGCAGAGAGCACAGCGGTGCCGTTCGCCGTTCACTTCCTTTCCTTACTGGTCCTGCCTTTCCTCACTGGTCCCCACTTTTACGCACATACATGACCACCTACCTATTTCCATACGCACATGCACACGATTTTACCACTTAACCTACAAACTTATGTACCCGCACACGTATGCCAGGTTGTGGACTGCGGCTCCTTCCTGAAGGACTGGTCGACTCGTGCATGTTTGGCTCAGCGACCCGACCTGGGAGAGGGGGGTGGACTGAGACCGGTGGTGGACCTGCTGGTGGAGCAAATCGAGTGAGTTGGGACCGGATGGAGGGCAATCAATACCGGATATGTTAACAATCTGCCAAAGATTGATTATTAATATGTAGAGGGAGCCAAATTAGGGAAGGCGGAGGGGAGGTAAGCACTAGGCGGGTAGGAATATAATCTATTGCGGGGTGCAAGAGTCAAGGAAAGAGCTGCGGCTTTATCGGTTTATTTATGCTCTGAAGATGTGTACATGTCCATGTTTCCAACGCAACGCCACTTCCCGCAACGCAGATGCGCGGACTTTGTGGTCCTCAACAAGACGGATATGCTGAATGACGCTCAGCGGGAGGAGCTCACGGCCATTGTGGCCTCTCTCAATCCCCTGGCAACCGTCATTCCCTGCACACAGGGCAAGGTAATCAGAGAAGCGGAGGAGGGTGATATTATCGGTAGCAGAAGATAGATAGGCGATAGGTAGGCTAGGTAGAAGGTAGAATGGATAGGTAAACTTGCGAATGCCAGCCGGGGGAACGAGTCAAGTGATAGCTGAGAGGACATGTGGCGGATAAGGAAGGACGAGTGGAATCTGTTGAGGTTTGGGCGGAGTGCGTGTGGCTACCTATAGGCCGCTGCTGCTGCTGCTGCTGCTACATGATCCTGCCACTTGTCGTGAATCTGTTGCTCAAAGTCATCGCTGCGGCTGTGCAGCCCAGGAATAAGAACAACTACAGTGGCTGCTGCTGCTGTTTCTCCCGCTGCTGCTGACGTTTTTTCCCGCACTGCTGCTGCTACTGCTATGATCATGCCCCAGGTGCCTATCGAGCGCGTGTTTGGTCGCGACGTGCACAGCGTGGTGGCCAAGCTCAACATTGAGGGGCAGCACCGGGGTGCAGTGGCCGCAGCAAAGAGCCGAATGGTAGGCACTGCGCGTGTAATTTTGCCCGTTACGCGTTTTGGTGTTCCCAGCGGAGATGTCAGCGGCAGGCCCTGCGGCCCGGCTGAAAATGAGAGCCCTGCAGCCAGTCCGAGGGCGGCTCGTTGCTTTCGAAACAGCGTTTCAGGCGCCTGACTCGGTGCTGGCACAGCTAGCAAGACGGGACTCCGCACCCTTGATGCGGTGTCTTCGGTCTTGGGTGCGCGTTGGGCAACCAGCGTGTCTTATTAAAACCCCAAAGCATCGCAGCCTGCCAGTCATTTGCATGGCTTCTTCATTACTTTGTGCTTACACTTCAAAAGACTTTGCGGTGTTGCTTTACCATTTCATGGCAGCTCTTTCTCCGCCATGCAGACGCTTATGTTCGTGTGTGGTCTAGGCTAGAGCACATCTTAGCTGTGCATTGCGGCACACGTGGTGTTGGTTGTCGTACCATTGGGACGGGGTCCTTGGCATCCTTGAGCCTGCCGTCGCGCAGCAACTCGTTCATGTCGATCTATGCACTGCCGCCGCTGCGGGCCGGTGCGCTTTTAACACTTGGGGGTTGTTAACCCACCATCACGCAGGCGCTCGAGGAGGCAGAGATGAAGCGGGATCAGGAGAAGCATGAACACGACCACAAGCACAGCCACGGCAAGGAGGACGACTGCGAGGTGGGTCTGTGGTGTGTAAATCAGGTGTGAGGATCAGGGAATGGGCGATGGGGAATCCGGAGGGTGTCGGCAGATCCCGCCTTGTGTGTGAATGTATGTGTGAATGTATGTATGTGTGTTTCCAACTATCTGCACACTCGATTGAATGTGTTAGTTACCCTGGAGTTTGGTGTTTGTGGGTCGCCGAACGGCAAAAAAACGCTGCGTTACAGACAAATGCTTGGTTAACCGTTACCGTATGTGCATGTGTGATTAGTGAGACTTCCTACCCATCCCGTTGCGCTCCCTAGCGCGCTTAGCGGAGCTCATGCACACGGCCATGCACACCATCTTATTGGCCTTGTGGATAAATTTGACATATTCGTTCATTCATTTGGAAGAGCCTTGGTTTGGGGGCGAGTTTGTGGAAAATGTGTTTCCCACCGCGGGGTTGACACACATCATGAAGAGCTGAGCACGTGCTGCATCCCTGCACGCCCACTTGCCTGTATACTGTACTGCATTCATGCCTGCCTACTTGTTTGCCTCGCAGGCTTGCAAGCACGGCCACAAGCACGAGCACAAACACGAGCACAAACACGAGCACAAGCATGAGCACAAGCACGAGCACAAGCATGAGCACAAACACGCCGAGGGCGAGAAGGTGGAGGACTGTAAGGTAAGCGCCGGTGTGCTAGGTGACGGTGCATTGCAGATGGGCTAATTTGGGGTCTGCAGATTTCCTCTAAAAGTGACGCCCTTCTGTGGCATCATGAAAAACACAAATAAGAGATGTGGTTCGGTCAGTCAGGTGAATTCTTCGGCTTGCTGTGCCTCACTTGTCTCTCCTCTTGTATTGGTGTGGCCTGGGCATAAGGCCCTGGTGGTTGCCCTGGCGTGCCTTTCCTCCAGGGTGGGTCCGCGGCGGGAACGGATCTAGGGACGCCTATTCTCAAGCCTCTCAGTTCCCGTTTTGACGTTTGATCCTGCCGATCTTGGGCATGCCGTGTACGCCTCCTGTTGATGCTCATGCTGCTGCGCTCATTGCTCATATGCTCTGCTGTTGCTGCGGGTGTTCTTGGTCTTGCGATCCTGTTGCTGTTTTGTTGCTCCCTGATGGTTCGCTCACCAGGCTTGCGAGGAGGAGAAGGCGGAGGGCCACAAGCACCACCATCATCATAAGCAGCACAAGCACAACCATGAGGAGGACGGGGAGCGCCATGACAACTGCGAGGTGGGAGGAGTGGTGGGGGCTGGGGCGGGATATGTGGTTTGTGCTGGCAGTGTTTGTGCTTTGGTTGGTCGAGCGAAGTGGGGTAAATTCTGAAGAGGAGTTCTTGCTGGGAATTTAGCTTGGTAGGGCCTCACCTTCTTGCCTCTGGGTCACTAGTGTGTGAGATGTTGAGCTTGCAGTGGGGTCATCATGATCACCTGCCTGGTCACGTTAAGCCACGTTGTTGAAATGATGGCCATGCCGGCTAAGAGAAGCTTGTGAACAAAGGCCCGAAAAGGTCTCTCACGTTTAATTATGGATGAGTGCTGCGTAAGTTTTCCTTGTTGCCTCATTGTACTGCCGTACTGATTGCATCATCGATTGTTTCCACGCCGATTGCTTCCACTTTAACGATGGTGGGGTGGTTTCTGGCGGGTCCATTACCGCTCCTACAGGCGTGTGAGGAAACGGAGGGAGACGATCACAAGCACCATCACCACCACCATCACCATCACCACCACGAGCGCGGGGAGACACGGGCCGCCACTCGCTTTGGCATCCGCAACTTTGTATACTCCCGCCGGCGTCCCTTCCACCCGCAGAGGTAAGAAAAAACGTTGTCCACAGGAGGTCAAGCAAACTGGGTCTTGGCATCACGACATGGCATCGCGACGTTGCAGACTTTTGCTGTCTTTGCCGTTTTGCCAGCGTTTACGCTACCCGGGCTATACCGGTTTCGTGTGCTATGTATGACAACGATGTACGACAACTATGTACGGAGACAACTGTCGTAATTCCAGCTGCGGCCATAGGGGTGTGTGTATATATGTTGTCTTCCAGGGAAGTTTATCCTCAAAGCAAAGATCTGCACACCACACTTGTCACTGATTTCCGGACTTCTATGTTTGCCAACGCTAATAAGGGGCTCTGCGTGCTTAATGTCGCCCTGTAGTATGCCACCCAACCTTCCGGATTTGTCCCACCCAAACCTCCGGCCTTCCAATCTCCGCACCTGTACCCATAGGCTGAAGGAGATGGTTCTCAAGTGGCTACCCGTGACAGTGAACCAGGCCATTGACGGGGAGGCGCCCGAGGAGGGGGATAGCCCCATCAAGACGGGTGCGTGGACAACCGCACGCGGACGTGCTTGTGTGTAGTGTGTGTGTGTGTGCTTGAAGGAATGTAATAAGGAGTGCAATCGCTCAACAATTGCATATGCAGCTTAGGCGGTAAGGCAAAGAAGACACTTGCGCACACCGTTTTGCTTCGGTTAGACATGCATGACTTTTAGTTAATTGGATAGTGCTGGCTTTGGATGAATACAGGTTAGGCAATAATTGAGGCACGAAGAAAAAGGGCAATCTGGGAATGGGGGAGGGGAAAACGTTTGCTAGTGTGGTGTACATGGCCGCATGGCGCAGCTGGGAGTGTGTTTAGGTTGGAAAAGAAAGGCTTGGCGCGCGTTCATTCCCGCATTTTCCGTGTCTCAATACGTTGCTGTGCTAGTTGTCCAGGTTTGTGTTTCATGCAGTGGTCCATCATTCCAGGATGCAGCACTTCCACCCCTTCTCGGACGTCGGCAGTTGATCCTTTGTTTTAAGCAGAGTTAATTCCAATGGCCCAGTCCTTTTCATTCGGCCCTCCGACTGGCGCAGCTCGCCAGCAGCAGCTCAGAACTGCCCATGTTTTACCTTTCCACGACATTCTTTGCTAAGCATATCCGACAGCCTATTCCTTTCCAAATTTTCACTTCTTCGTGCGAGGTACGCGTCCGGCCCTTTTTTGCTTTTAAAATTGTAATCACTGTGCTCGTCTTTCCTTCTTCCATCTTTGCGCAGTGATGCGCTCCAAGGGCTTCATGTGGCTGTCCTCCAGCCACACCACCGCCTACTACTGGAGCCACGCGGGACAGCACTTTGAGATTCGTGACGAGGGCGACTGGTGGGCGGCGGTGCCGTCGGAAGACTGGCCCGCGGATGCGGCGCAGAAGGACATCATCCTCAACGTAGGTGTTAGTGGGGGGCAAGAGATGGAGCGGATACGCATGGAGAGCCGTTTAATCCCCATCTTTTTCAATCTGTGTTTGACGAGGCCTCCTCCTTCCTCCTCCCCTCTGTGCCCGTGTGCCCCCGAGTGATTTGCCTAACACGCGTCGACAGCAGTTGTGTCATCAGTCCCTTACAGGAGTTTCTACCTGTGCAATCCCATCCTTTGCGACTCGTGTGCACTTCTCTCTGTCCCTCCGTTCCTTTAACGTCAAATCAGCGCGAGTGGATGGGTCGTTTCGGGCTTGTTTAGAGAGTCTGCATTGTTTGGCTTACGCTTTCCTAGGGTACCTCAAAACCTGACTCCTTGCTATTTGTATTAATGACTCCCGCAACGTAGCAAGCATCATCAACATTCCGTTCTCTCGAATATGAATCTCGAAATTCCTTCACCGTTTTGTTTCAGCATTGCACGGCCCACACTCTGCCTTCCCATTTTCGATTGGGGTTTCCTTTCCTTTCCCGTTTACTTATCCTACCGGCTTGCTAAATGTTCCATTTTTTGTTTTCCTTGCTTTTATTTGCAAGGACTTCGACGACGCAACCGACATGGGAGATCGCCGGCAGGAGATCGTGTTCATTGGAGTCAACATGGACGAGGTAGGTCGTGGGGCGGATGTGGGTTGCGGGGTTTGCTGAGGCGCTTTGTTGGGTCCTCCACTGGCCTCAATTTTGGTGCTGCTGCTGTCTCTCTTTCCCCTCTTACTAAGTGCAGGCCACATGCATCTTTCATACTGTGTGCGCGCCACCGGACAAACCCGTTTGTCTCCTTCTGGGTCCTACCTGTACTTAATTCCTTTCTAGAGATATTTCTCCCTCTTCCTGCTCCTTTCTGGATGTTTCGTCCTCAACCACGGACAGAGCTCTCCTGTCCTTCCCGGTCACTTCTGATGTCCATGTCGGTCTCCATTCTCCGTCCCCTCGCTTGTCTGGTCCTCAACTTCCGACCTTAAAATCTCTTCAGGCTAAGATCAGCGCCCAGCTGGACGGTGCGCTGTTGACAGACGAGGAGGTGGCCAAGTACAAGGAGCGCTGGGCTGCTCAGGCCGACCCACCTCACATCGAGGTGACCACAATACAGGGAACACAGGAGGGGCCGCTGCTAGTGTGGGCGTGAGGTGAACGGAGGCATGCGTGTAGTGGCCTATGGAGAGGCGGAAAGCGAGGAAAACTCGAGCTGAAATGGCCGGAGCAATGGGTTTGTGAAGTCCTTGGATGGGCATGAAGAGCGGCCGCCACGCAGAAGCAGGAAGATAGGCCGCTGTGCAGCTAAGCAGACCCGAGGGTGGCCATCTGCCGTTGTCAGAGACAAAGTTTGATTGAGACAGTTTGATCGATGGCCTCTGACTCGCTCGTGTATAGCTGTGCAGTAATTTGCCTGAGGCACAGCTGCCATGCACGACTACATAGTCATTGTCGGAGCGGGCCGAGTCACTCTCCCGTTGATATTACTTTCCCCAGCCTCAGCAGTAGGCTCCGGAGCGCCTTGCGCGATTGCTGGGTTGTTTTATTACTTGCTGAATGCTGTGATTGAGCTGCAATGGCGTTTCAAGCTCTGTATCCTCCATGCTCCTCGTCTTCGTGAACCCGCAGCCTGCATGAACCCTTCCTCACAAGTTTTACTGTGGGCACATCTCTTGACTCGCTGCATTGCTTCCATGAGAGAGGATAAACATCTGACCGGGTACAGCCCGTTTCGCTGACGGCATCCCTTTCGCCCCGCTCGCTTCATGTGCTGACGCTTACAGGTGGAAGCCCGCCGAGCTGCCAAGCGCGCCAAGGCGGCGGAGGTTTGAGAGCTCTTCCTGCCAAGCAGCTGCGCAGCAATGGACTTAAGTAGTCTCAGCACATCATGAGATGGCGGGCATCGCGACATCTTCTGCTTGTTCGACCTCTTTTCGTTGTACATCCTTGGGAGGGGCTCGACTGCCCAAGTCGTCATCAGCTGGTTTGCACGTTATTGAGGCTTTCCGCATCCTCTCGTCTGTTCCTGTTTTAGACTGTGAAAGGGATGGGAGGAAGGGGTTTATACATCGGTCACGCATGACACCAATATACTCGTTTTATGGGGCTTTGAGGGTGGGTGATATTCGATTTGCGAAGTGAGGATCGTTGCTCTGGCGACAATTGGGATTTAGTGGGGGAGGGGGGCCCTAGCGAGATTTGAGTGCTGGCTGCTGGAAGGCTGTAGAAACCGGATGTGCAGTGTTGCGGTGTGGTGTAGGCATGCGCTCCCAACTGTTTTAAGTTTAACCAGCTTTTTAGGGGACACAGGTGGGTAAGGCTGGCTTTGTAGGCGGGGCGGACGCTTGTGCGTGGTTACTAGCTATTGCTTCTCCGACTGCTGCTGGATGCACGCGAGGCTTGTTCTTGCCCGTGATGGTTAGGTACGATGGGGATGTGTGTATCGACTGGGCATTGATCCTCCGGGTGTCAAGGCTTCTATGGGATCACTGAAGGAAGGATGGTTAATAGGGAAGGCTGCTCTGCGCAATTTGCAGTTTGGCCGTGTTGCTTTGCTGCATGACCGTCGGTATAGTTTCTGAAAGGCGGTGAGCTGTTTGCGTGACAATTATGACGGTCATGGTGGTCTGTGCAGATGTGGAAGAGGCGTCACTTGAGGAGTCGCTCTGGATGCCGGGATTGTGGAAAGGTCCGTGCGCGACCTGGAAGTAGATTGCTTTGGGAAGGGGACAAGGGGTATGGAGGTGGACTGCGGTTGCAACATGTACGACAGGTGGCTGGTCGGCCTTGTGTCGAAATCAGATCCGCACACTTGATAGACCTTGGGAGGCCTGGAGGGTTTTCACGTGACGGATACTCAATGGATTTATAAGTTTGCCTGGTGGCGTGCCATGTTGCTTACGTGCGGTACCAGCATACAGTATTGTTATATAGAGGGGGCTCGCTAGGGGGCACAATGACACCCGGGGCTCAATCTGGCTCGCCTCGTGGCTGTACGATAATTGTAACGACGCATGATGCGTTATTTTGTTACACTACGGCTCGAGACGCATCTATGAGTATGAGCATCCATTTGAAAGGATTTGTAGCGCGTCGACCATTGCGACAGAGCCTTGATTTGAGAGGAGTGCGCATATTGAGGCAATGACAAAGTGCAGCATTCGTGGGGTATTGCAAGCGCTAGTGCGTGACTCTGCATAACCGCGTCGCAAGGGATGGACCAGAATGCCAGAGGGTGCTGAGCCAGGAATGTTAACATCGGCCATAATCTTCAAATCTCCACGGAGAGTGCGTCCTGGAAACGACGGCTCAGCCAAAATAGGTATAGGCTGACGTAAGGAAGGCTACAGACACATTTCGCGCGTTGCAGAACTTAGCACATTTTTGGGCGGGGCCCCAGCGCGAAGCGCCCAGGGGGGCCCCGACCTGTAGGATTGCCCATGTCCGTGCGTGCGTGTGGCCGTGTGGCCGTGTGTGTGTAACGGACCAAACATAATATCTCGCCCGGCTGAAACGCGTTATTGGTACTGTAAAGCATTCTCTATCGCAAGGTATCTCGCCTGTAGCCAACAAAAATCGTATGAGCACAAATGAACACAAATGACTTTGGCTGCCTCAATTGACCGAGGCCAAAGCCACATCAACGCCTCTCGGGCTAAATTTAATCTCAAAAGGTACCGCGTATCTCATGTTTGAATTCTGAGATGACAGCGTATGATAACTTGTACACCATGGTAACACAAGCTGTTACCATTTGCCCGCACGGGCATTCCGACTTGCCACCAGCAGGCCGACAAATTTGCTTACATTTCTCTATGAAATACGCAAGCTGCTCATTTGTACATTTACTTTAGCCAATGGTCGGGGCCTCCGGAGATTTGCGGTGTGCCGCGATGAAGCTCGCGGCTATGGGGCGGATTCGGGGCGGATTCGGGGATAAACATCACAGACAGCACCGAAATTCACCCAGCTTTCGTTACCATTCGCCCGCACGGGCATTCCGACTTGCGGTCTGCCGCACTGTCCATGCGGCATGCACCCGGGATGGATGCGATTCGCGTGGAGCCCGCAGGCGGTGCTGACGATTCCGCTGGTGCAAGCTTAGCTCCCACACCATCAGCACTGCTGCAACAAAGCACATCTCCCACCGCGTTGACACTACCCATCAATTGCCACACGTGCCGCGCTAGCTACCGGCCTATACGGATACAGGGGCCCCGCCTTTTTTCCGGCTTCGAGGAAGCCGACACCCGACTTGTCATTTCACGAAGCCTGCATAAACACAATTAAGGGAGCATGCTATGATACACCATATCATAAGCTCTCCAATGAATAGCAGCGCTTACGGGCTGTCTGACACAGTTGCCGCTTTGCTCGGAAAGCAGCTCAGAGGAGCGGGACAGACCGATAGCCGGGACGCACTGCAATGTTTCCGTAGCCTGATGGAGACCTGCAAGCAAAGATATGGCGGTACCTTCGGGGAAGTACCCTAGTAGCTGCCTGGCCCGCCGAAGCCCGCCGAAGGCCGCCGAACTGTTAATTTTTGCCTGACAGTAGTGTTGGTATGTATACTCTTTTTGCTTGTATACTGTTTTTATCGACAAACAAACATATTCAACCCTAAACATTATAAGAAAATGCCGCTTATGCGCCTACCTTTTCCATATGTCGATTACCGAGACCCGCCTACTCTCTGAGCAGGAGCTTCGAGGCAGTATCTCAACAGGAAGCTGCTACCTGTTGGACACGTTGGCTTGCCCACCTAGAAGTTGGCTTGCCCACCTAGAAGGTGTTGTAGCTTAGATGCGGCAGGAGCAAAGCGAGTATAGCCTCTAAGCTAGGTTATGTACGGCAGCCGTATGGCTTGCTGAGATTTCGAATTTACTATTTCAGCTGACAGCTCCATAGTTCCGGCATTCTGCCTACACTATTGGAGCTTATTATTGTTGCTCTCACTTCCCCCCCCCCCGCCCTCAGTGTCCCTCGTTTATAAGCGGCAGGCTCGGCCCAGTTGGAGACCTGGTGATTAGGCAGTCCCCTCGGAGCGCCAGACGCACAGCTGTACAGCGATTACCGCACGGCAAATAAGTGCCTATAGAGTATCGTTGCGCGCTAGGAATGCCGCCTGGCCAGCCCCGTTCGTGCGTCGCTGACGCTTCAGGTTTGCCCTCGGGGCGGGTGACCAGTGGACGCAGTCATCAATGCTGCGTTTTAGTTGTCTAGTGCTGTGCGTCAGTTCTTTCGGCCGTGCCGGTGTGGCCGCGCTGGACAGCGCTGCGTGCGCTCAGACCGCGCCGTGTGGCGCTAGACCGCGCTTCGGCGCACACGCGCCCTGGCGCTCCGAGAGCAGCAATTAGTTCTGCAGTAGTGTAAGGCCTTTGGCATGAAGGCTATAGGACATAATTCAAGAACCTAGATGTTGGATGAAATGGACGGGCATGCTCGGACTGAGACACATTTACTCTTTGAGCAATCCGGGACGGATGTCGTAAAACGAGGCGCTGCGTTCGGTGCCTTGGCGCGGTGTTATTGAATAACAGAGAAGATATGGTAAAATGCAACGCGCGGAAGTCCGGAAGATGTGCAGTGTGAAGAAGTGGCCGAGCATAAGGCGGTTACAAAAGTTCGCATGACGCAAATCGACCAGACATCTGCAGATGTCAAATGCCAAATACAGAAGTACGGAGGGCCCTATGCCAACCACGGATATCACACCAGGACGAGACAGTCCGAGTTTTGGCCATTCCAGCACAGAATGCAGAGTCAGACAACAGGTACCAACTAAGCTTTATTAAGACGGATTACAGAAAATAGACGACGAGAAAGACTAGAAAAAGTCGAGGTCGAAATCGCTTGACGAGTGATGTTAGATTGCCTTTATCTTTGGTTTTGCCTACAATAGAACGCCGTCTCTTATATATGAGAAGACAACAACAACGGCGACGCGCAGATCGACATTGCGGGCCAACGGCATCCATGCAAGTAAGTGAAGCGCGCGGGCACTGCGCGGGTGGTTGGGTTGGTTCGGCCGTGAGTAGAGGCACCTGAATAGTGGGTTCTGTTGCTTGTCGGTGGGCGGGGGAATTCTAGTTGGGTTCGCGAGGTCCGTAGGTCAGTAGGAAAGGTGGTTTTATCTCGGCCTCCCGCAGTTGGCGAGGCTTTAGCTGGGAGTCCGTTTTGCCGGGAGTAGCTCTTGGTTGGCAAGAGGTTGCGAGGGGCTTGATCGGCGCCCTTTGTCTTGAGTTCGCCTGATTTACCCTGGTATCCTCGCGAGTCGCCAGATAGCCCGGTGCAGGATACTTACCAACATAACAGCTACCCTACGTG